GAGCTCAATATATTCGATGGTTCTGAACATTGAATATTTGTATGTGTTTCCAAGGAGTCCTTCATTTCTGTTTGGTTTTTTAGTATATGCATTAACTTGGATTATATATACGCATTCACTTAAGCATATTCTGTGTAGTTCTGTTGGAAAACTTGCCAAAACTTCTGTACGGTGCTCTGGTGCAATCCTTTGATCAGTATCTGTCCCATCAAAAATTTTTGGCATGCTTTATTGCATTATAGTGTATTTTGACAATTAATGACATGCTAAAGCCACAGTGCTTGGCTGTAATCTCAAAACCAATGTCTGTCTCATCAAGAAGTGTCAGATGCATTTTGTAGATGTTAAAGGATATTTAAACTACCAGCAAAGTGCTGAAGTCTTCAACACAGCACTGATCCGCAATCACCACCCAGCTTAGAAGTCATTTGTAGAGTTCTCTAACACGTTCAAATAAAGTTATCAAACACTGGATTGATCTACTTGGTTTGAATCCTAATCCCAATGTGTCTGACTTTTTGGAGGCACTTGTATTATAATAATGTCCTATTTCTCTCATTTATTACAGGGGTGCACTCAAGGGTAGTGATATTTGTTTACCTTGGCACACTTAATGTGATATTACTGTTTATATTCTTTCATTTTGTATATATGTATGCCACTTTTGCAGTAGCCTCACAGTGAGCAGCTGTATTTGAAAATTAATAAATATACCATCCGAAAGTGTTCAACGCTGTGCTCGGTTCCAATCTAGTCGCTAATATCTGTTGCATCGTGATGTGTCGGGTATATTTATTGCATTGGAGAACATTTTGGCTGCCTTCCATGCAGGGTTCAGTTCCAGTATTATGACTGATATCTGTGACTTCATGAAGAGTTAGACGCGGTTTGTCGTTTTAGAGAATACTTTAACTACAGACAACATCCAGAAGTCTTTCCTACAAGGTTCAGTTGCAGCCCTATGGCCAATATCTGTCTTATTATGAAAACTTCAAGTACAGTTAGTTGCATTAGAGCATATTTTGACTACAAAAAATGCCCAGAGGCATTCTACGTAGTGCTTGGTTCCATTCTTATGACAGTATCTGTTGTATCATTAAGAGCCAGATGCGGTTTCTTGCATGACAGGATATTTCCAATACGCTTATCATTCAAAGCCCTCTGAACAGGGCACAATTACAGCCTCATGACCTAAATCCGTCACATCATGAAGAGTAGGGTGTGCGTTGTTTTGGCTGCAGACAACGTTCATTTTGGCTGCAGGCCATTTCGGCTGCAGACAACGTTCAAAAGCCTTCTATACAGGGTTCACTTCCAATATTATGACTGATAACATTGACTTTATGAACAGTTGGGTGCGGTTTGTCATTTTAGAGAATAATTTGACTAAAGAGAACGTCCAGAAGTCTTCCATACAGGGTTCCGTTCCAATATTATGACTGATATCTGTGACTTCATGAACAGTTCGGTGTCGTTTGTCGTTTTAGAGAATACTTTGACTAAAGATAACATTCAGAAGTCTTCCTTACAGGTTTCAGTTCTATAATTATGACCGATATCTGTGACTTCATGAACAATTGGGTGTCGTTTGTCGTTTTAGAGAATACTTTGACTAAAGACAACGTCCAGAAGTCTTGTATTGAGCTTTCAGTTCTAATATTATGACCGATATCTGTCACTTCATGAACAGTTGGGTGTCGTCTGTCGTTCTAGAGAATACTTTGACTAAAGATAACCTCCAGAAGTCTTGTATTAACGTTTTAGTTCTAATATTATGACCGATATCTGTCACTTCATGAACAGTTGGGTGTCGTCTGTCGTTCTAGAGAATACTTTGACTAAAGACAACGTTCAGAAGTCTTGTATTAAGGTTTCAATTCTAATATTATGACCGATCACTTCATGAACAGTTGGGTGTCGTCTGTCGTTTTAGAGAATACTTTGACTAAAGACAACGTCCAGAAGTCTTGCATTAAGGTTTCAGTTCTAATGTTATGACCGATATTTGTGACTTCATGAATAGTTGATTGTCGTCTGTGGTTCTAGGGAATACTTTGACTAAAGACAACGTCCAGAAGTCTTGTATTGAGGTTTCAATTATAGTATTATGACCGATATCTGTCACTTCATGAACAGTTGTGTGTCGTCTGTCGTTCAAGAGAATACTTTGACTAAAGACAACGTCCAGAAGTCTTGTATTAAGGTTTCAGTTATAATATTATGACCGATATCTGTCATTTCATGAACAGTTGGGTGTCGTCTGTCGTTCTAGAGAATACTTTGACTAAAGACAATGTCCAGAAGTCTTGTATTGAGGTTTCAGTTATAATATTATGACCGATATCTGTCACTTCATGAACAGTTGGGTGTCATCTGTCGTTTTAGAGAATACTTTGACTAAAGACAACGTCCAGAAGTCTTCCAGTGCAAGGTTCAGTTGAAATATTCTGACCAATATCTGTCACATCATGAAGTGTCAGGCACAGTTAGTTGCATTAGAGCACATTTCAGCTATGGAAAATGCCCGAAGGCATTCTACGCAGTATTTGGTTCCTATCTTATGACCAATATCTCTTGTGTCAATAAGAACCGGGTGTGCTTTGTTGCATTAGAGGATATTTCGAACACACACATCAACCGAAAGCCTGCTACTCTGGCCTCAATTGTAGTCTTATGACTGACTTAAATCTCTCAGATCATGAAGTTGCAGGCGTGATTATTAAGTTGACTGATATAAAATATGTTGTGTAAATATACTGAAGGTACCAGCATATACAAGATATTGTTAGTAACTTTGGTAGTGCAGGTATAGAAACCCGGTGGTTTGTAAACCTGATCAGGAAGGCAGCCACGCCTCGTTCACCGCAGAGAGGAGGGGGGGGGGGGAGCTCAATGTCAATTCCATATATTAACATAATAGGGAGGGGGTGCTAAGTCAGCCCTGGGGAGGGGCACTGGGACAAACTTTTGCCCCCCCCCCCCCTTAAGGAGAGCCCTGCACACGCCTATGATAGCCGTACAGTATGCTAGACGCGAATGTTCATTCGCGGGAGCGGCACACGCACCGATGTTGATTTCTGGTGCTACCGCTGTAGTTACTTTGGGCACTGAAATGTCAATTACCTCTAAAATAGTCTAAACTGTGGTGGTTGAAGCACTATCAACTTGTTAACGTGTTGTCATACCCTCTGAAACATACATTCCCGCTCCAGTTGAGAACGTGCCGTTCTGTGCTGAACTTGGACAGTTCCAAGCCAAAAGATCAAGCAACATTGCGCATCGGCCTTGGACGCGTGGGCGTCAACGTGGTCGACGCGTGCCAGTAGTTGCACGCCCTTTTCTTCCACAGGCGCGACTAGACGCTTTTGACGCGTAGGCGCAAGCATACGCGTGCCAGTGGTTGGCACTTAAGAGCACATTAACCCTTTGTGTGACTGTGGAACAGAAATGTCCCACTTTTCTGTCTGCAGAAAAATTTTTCTCCCACATCACTCATTGCAATTGGTGCTATGTTAAGCCCCGCCTCGGTGGTCTAATGGCTAAGGTACTCTGCTGCCGACCGGCAGGTCGCGGGTCAGAATCCCAGCTGCGGCGGCTGCATTTTCGATGGAGGCGGAAATGTTGTAGGCCCGTGTGCTCAGATTTGGGTGCACGTTAAAGAACCCTAGATGGTCAGAATGCCCAGAGCCCTCCACTACGGCATTCCTTATAATCATATGGTGGTTCAGCGACGTTAAACCCCACATATCATCATAAGCACAGTGTTAAACCACTCGTATCGTACCCAAGTCTTCGTAATCTTGAGAAAAAATTTTACCATGCTTTCAAAAGGTCAATGTAGTGTTACAATGGCATTGGATTCCGGTCAGTTCTTTATGATGGCTTCTGAATTTTTATCTTCCTGCAGACATGAGGGCACATTAACCCTTTGTGTAACTGTGGAACACATACTTCCAACTTTTCTGTCTGCAGGAAACCTATCAATAAAAATGCTGGATGAGTTCCTCTTTTTCTAGTTTTTGAAAGAGGCAATGTCAGCTTCCAGTCATCAAGAATTTTTGTAAAGTTGCGTAATAACTTGACTGATAAATGCATCGGAACAATCCCCTGCAAAACTGTACCGCTCATTCCTCAGCGCGATTGCGGATATTGATGCTTCAAAATATTTTCTTGATATCGTATCGAAAAGTAGGCATATGTTCAGGGACATCTGTACTCAACAATTTCAACACCATAAGCAAAGACAGACAAATGGACAAAAAAAGTGATTGATGTATGCAGTGAAGTAAAAGTAAGCTTTATAGGAACGGACCAGAGGGCAAGGTTGATAAGAGGCACAACTGTAGGTGGTGTTCTGTTGAAATGACCACACAACTTTCCTCTTCACAACTTGAGATTTGATACTCGTTGTCACTTGCTTTGGCCTTTTTATCCCAAAATACTTGTTGACACATTCGCGATATGGTGCCTTCATGAGACAATGTTTTCCCACTTTTTGAAAACACTCTCACAAGTCACTGAGTCACTATATGTCACTCACAAGTCACTGTGTTACAAGTCACTATATGTCCCACTTTCTTTTCTATAAGCTACTGGCCTGATTCTGATGAAATTTTTCATATTTAATGAAGCAGATCAACGTCATTCTAAAAGGCTGAGGGTAACACTCTCGGGCAGAGTAGACGGCAACGATAATTTCCTTGTAATTTGTAGTTTATATCAATCTAGCACATCGTGTCAGAACTATAGGAATACTTATGAAGGGTTAAATTGACAGGGTGTAAGAGTAAACTTGTTGGTGGTGATACATCATTAAAACGTGTGGTGCACAAAAAAGACAATAAGAAAGATGATGGGATGATGTGCTGTCCCACGCATCGTCCTGTTGTCTTTCTTAGTCCACGTCTTTGTCATGCGCCACACTTAAAGGGTTAAACATTTTCTTTTTTTCCGCCCTTTTGGGTATTTATTGCTCTGTTTTTTGCTGTGTTTTTTTGCAGGCTTTTCTATGTAAAGTATGAAGAGAAAGAGATATGCTCAGCATTCACAATGCTTATGTTACGCAAGGCCTCCAAGAAATGTGGCCAAAGGACAACCTGCAGAATCTGTGCACTCAATCGGTGCTGTAATCTCCAGAGTAAAAAGGTCACCTTTGCTGAAGTGCGAGAAACTGAAGCAACAGAAAGCTCCAAGACATGATATATGCAAGTCATGTTTAGAGAAGCCGCAAATAACAAAAGAAAGAATAAAAAGTGTATCCACAGTATTTATGTACTTTTATTACACTATAACAGTATATATCTGAATGAAACATCTAAAACTTGGTGAATCGGTGGTACTGCAGAAAGCCGATGAATGCTTGTCGAACTGTGGAAATATAAAAAGGAGCATATGATCTTACCATACACATGACTGCTGCTTCTTTCCTTTGCCTCAACAAAGTGCGTGGTACAGCTAAGCGGACTTAGGAGCTGGCGTCTCAGGACGTAGCAGATGTTCAACATAAATTTTCTTGCTTAAAACAAGTCACTCTAATTAAACTTCGGTCAATAAATTTTTTCGTATGTCCTTCCATACACGTGCAAGCATGAAATTTTAATTTGACTGTATCAGCAAAGTGCCTAAACATAAATAATTTATTTAAATTATACTCTTAATGCCATACAGTGTACAGAGGAGAGTGGTAAATACATTTACGTTATAAAATATTGTGCAAGACAGCTTGAAAAGATTAATGGTCTGAATTGTTAGCGACTGAGCGGAGAAGTGCTTCTATAGGCGATGTGTAAACTCGCAAAGACTCATGGGATGCACGCAGTCTGCACTGGCTTGCGGTTCAATGGCTCTGCGTTCGTCTGCTGCGTCACTCCTTGGGTATCGGTCTGCTCGCTTTCTTGATGCAATCCAACGTGCATGCTGTGAATTTCTAGAGCATGTTAGCATAGCAGCACCTACGACTGACCACGAAAGGGAAGCATGTGTTGTCATTGCAAAATAATATTTTCATTTCAAGTGGCAAACAACGGACTGTACGTGCTATCACGATTCTGCGTTTCTTCGGAACAATCAATGACGTGGCCTTGGTTGCCACGTCTTTCAACCAATTTACACTTGCATATTAATGGAGGTCATCCACTAATGCTCTTATTTTTACGTGTTTCCATCTGTGGGGGCGCTCAGCTGTTTTTGCATTCATAGCTTCACCATATATATATCAATCAATATATTTATCAATTTTCATTGTGTGAAAGGGATATCCTACATTACTAAATCTATGCGTTCAGCGGCCTGGCAAACTGTTCAATCGTTGGTTCGTAATGACTTTGACTACATTTTAGCGCTGACAAAGCTTTAAAAAGCAAGATATATTGGCGTTAACTTCTTTTTAGCGAAATGGAGCTTATTTGGCGTTCACGTATTGCACCGCATTGGTGAACAGGCTGGCCGAAACGACACCCGCTTCATAGTCGGGCAGCGTGCTTGCTATGCGTAGTTACCTGTTTGGTCAATCTACACCGGATCAGATATGAATAAATTGACTACTAAGAAAGAAATGATTGGATACATAGTGCTACTGACATTTTCTGGATACATAGTGCTACTGACATTTTCTCCCACTGGTGCGAGGTTGTCGCCGCCCGAACCACTGACTGATTGCATATACATCGCTACAGTTGATGTCATTGACAAATGCTGTGTCTATGGATTTTGCAGCGTCACCGCTGGCCTGATGTCGTGCGGCTGTTGGCTGCTGTGTCACACTATTTCCGGTATCAGGGTCAGCTGGCTGCACGTTGCACAGCGGCCGTGCATTTCAGTGGAAACGCCATATGCTTGTCGCAACTGTGTATATAGTGAGTGTGCTGAGAAAAATCTACACATTCAAATGCCTTTCGTGCTTCTGTCTTGACGCCTCAGTTCCTTTTTTATCATGCCAAAATGTCGACATGACGTAGTCAATCTGCCGTGAATCTTTGCTGAATCTTTGCTGCGAGCGTCTGTACGTAAATACCAAATGTGTCAGACAAACAAAACCATGCATGCAGGATTTGGGACAACTATCACCCATTTGATGCCAGGCATTCATAGGCTATACCACTCACTGTGGCTGTCCCCTTATTACTACAAAACCCACTTCAATTTTCAATCTTCATTCCAAAAGAATCTGAACATCTTTTTCTCTTTGGTGCTCGAACTAGTGCAACCGACAGCTGCACAACCAACCACTATTCATCATCATTAGCCTGACTACGCCCACTGCAGGGCAAAAGCCTCTCCCATGATCCGCCAATCAACCAGGTCTTGTGCTTTCCGTTGCCACGTTATACCCGCAAACTTTTTAATCTCATCGGCCCACCTAACTCTCTGTCTCCCATTCGTGCGTTTGCCTTCTCTGGGAATACAGTCATTACCCTTAATGACCACCGGTTATCCTACCTTCGTGTTACGTGTCCGGCCATGTCCATTTCTTTTTCTTGATTTCAACTATGATATCCTTAACCCCGGTTGGTTCCCTGACCAACTCTGCTCTCTTCTAGTCTCTTAAAGTTACACCTATCATTTTCCTCAATTTAAGCTGAACCCTTTTTGTGAGCCTCTAGGTTTCTGCTCTGTAGGTAAGTACTGGCAAGATGGAACTGTTATATACCTTCCTTTTGAAGGAGAGTGGTAATCTACCAGTCATGATTCGAGAGTGCTTGCCAAATGTGCTCCACCCCATTCTTATTCTTCTAGTTGCTTCAATCTTGTGGTTCGGCTTCGCACTTATTACCTGTCGTAAGTAGACATACTCCTTAACAACTTCCAGCACCTCTCCACATATCATAAAGTGCTGCTGTCTGCTGAGATTGTTGCACATTACTTTAGTTTTGTGCATATTAATTTAGACCTACTTTGCTGCTTTCCGTGACAAGTTCAGTAATCATGAACTGTAATTCGTCCCCTGAGTTACTCATCAAGGCAATGTCATCAGCGAATCGCAGGTTACTAAGGTACTCTCCATTAACTCTTATCCCTAACTCTTCCCAGTCTAGGGTCCTGAATACCTCCTGTAAACACATGGTGAATAGCATTGGAGAGATCGTGTCTCTTTACTTACACCCTTCATTATAGGGATTCTTTCACTTTCTTTATGGAAAACTATGGTGGCTGTGGATTGTCTGTAGATTTCTTCCAGTATGTTTACGTAGAATTCTTCGATGCACTGGTTCCATAGTTGCTGCATTACTGCTGATGTCTTGACTGAGTCAAATGCCTTCTCATAATCTATAAAAGCTATGTATGGGGGTTGGTTGTATTCAGCGCATTTCCCTATTACCTGATTGATAGTATGAATATGGTCTATTGTGGAGTAGTCGGTACGAAACCCTGCTTGGTCCTTTGGCTAATTGAACGCTAATATCGTCTTAATTTTATTAGCTATTATTTTTTTAAATATTTCGTAGAGAGCGGAGAGTAAGCTGATTGGCCTGTAATTTTTCAAGTCCTTGACGTCTCCTTTTTTATGGATTAAGATGATGTTGGCATTCTTCCGAGATTCTGGTACCCTTCCTGTCAAGAGACACTTTGTATATAAGATGGCTAATTTTTCTAACACAATTTCTCCGCCATCTTTCAGGAGGTCCGTTGTTACTTTATCCTCACCAGTGGCTTTGCCTCTTTGCATTTCTTCTAGGGCTTTTCTTACTTCCCTGTCGTTACTGGTAGGATGTCGAATTCTCTTGAACTATTATAGTTTCTTCTAATACCATCCTGGTTCTTTTGGCTTCTGTACAGCTCTCTGTCGAACTCCTCTGCCATCACGACTATCCTATCCATATTAATTATGACATTGCCTTCCTTGTTTCTCAATGCATACATTCAATTTTCGCCCAGGCACAAGTCTGATTTCATAGCTTTTAGACTTCTGCCGCTTTTTACAGCCTGCTCAATTCTTTTCATGTTATACCTCCCGATGTCGGCTACTTCACGCCTATTGATTAACTTCGAAAGCTCCACTAGCTCTATTTTGTTGGTTGCATTTGAGGCTTTCATCGTTTGTCGTCTCGTAATAAGATTTTTGTCTCCCGAGATAGTTTGCCAGTTTCCCGTTTAGTGACTGAACCTCCAAATTGCACACTCTTTGATGGCATTAGTAATAGTATCGTTCATTGTGTCAATGCTAACGTCGGTTATCTCATTTAGTGCCTCGAATCGATTCTGAAGCAATACTCTGAATTCATGTATTTTTCCTCTCACTGCGAGTTCATTAACTGGCTTCTGGCGTATCAGTTTTTGTCTTGGCTTTTTAAAATCTAGGTGTACACGAGCTCTTACAATTCTATGGTCACTGCATCTAATCTTGCCAACTACTTCTACATCATGTACAATGTCAGAGTGTGCACACAAAATGAAGTCGATTTCACTTTTAGTTTCGCCATTAGGACTTTGCCACGTCCACTTATGGTTAGTTCGTTTTCTGAAGAAGGTATTCATAATCCGTAAATTATTGCCTTCTGCGAACTCTACCAATAACTCCCCTCTGGCATTCCTAGAGCCGATGCTTTATTCCCCCACTGCATGGTCTCCGGCCTGTTTCTTGCCTACTGTGGCATTAAAGTCGCCCATAAGAATAGTATACTGTGTCTTTATTAATGGCCAACTTACGTCTTCATAAAGCGTTCGACCAAATGATCATCATGGCTCGATGTAGGCGGCTAGGCCTGTACCACCTTCACCTTGTACCTTTTTTTAAATTTGATTTTGATACTTGCCGACCTCTCACTGATGCTATAACCAACTACAATTGCCGAGCGGTTAGATTGCAACACAATTGAAAAATAAAAAAAAGACATGTCTACAGCTCCAAAAACGCGGCCAGCAAAATAGGGCGCCAAGGATATATTGAACTGGAAATTGATTTAGACGGCGCCTCCCATGGGCTTTTGCGTGTTTACACCTCACCTACTCAGATGCTCTCTTCGGCATGAATGAATTGAAGAATAGGTTCGTGTAGCAATTTGGCACTTCAATTTTGATGTTGCCATCTATTCGCATTCAGGTGCAACAAATAGTGTGACACCCTCACTTACACATTCTACGTTCATGCTCCTTATTCTTTAAAACTACTTGATCATCAACCTCCATACTTCTTTGACACAGTTACTAGCAACTATCCTGACGTGTGACGCTATTGTATATCTTGTTGATCTGAAAAAAATGTGAAAATGGGTGCAGCATTGCTGTTTTGCTTTCACTAAAATGCATATCGAAACAGAAAGGCGCACG